TGTGTTTTTCACATTGATAAGCATCTTAAGGAATGGAGAAAGGCCTTTACCAGGCTGTATGAGTAAGGTAAGAGAAATACTTTTCAGGGCACCATGCATAGACATCACCTTGACTTCATTTTGGAAGAAGACAGATAGTCAATGCTATCTGAAATATGCACAAGAGAAAGCACAGGTGGCCTGAAGAGTCTGTGCATTCTAGCTGGGAGATGAGAAGCCCTGGGTTCCGGAGCCATCTCCTCCCTCTGAATCGCCTTGCGTTATAGCTCAGAGCCAAGCAGGGCTGTTGCCATTCCCTGGGAGTAGTGTCTAATAACTAGTTTTAGGTCTCACTACCTAAGTATTCTGCCCAAGTTCAGTATGAGTAATAAGATGGGTTCTCTTGCTGAAATCAACCCTTTATTTATTTTTCATTTTTCTAAATTAATTAGGGTTGGCACCTCTGAAGCAGTTAGCTAGTTAGATGGGGACTTTTAGAAGGTAAATGCAATGGGATTAATCTATTATTCAACCCCAAAGTGGCCTCAGGCTGAAGCAGCACCCCTCTAGAGACGTTCAATGCGCTAAGGAGCACAAGGACACCTGGTTGCAGGTTGGGCTGCAATCCACAAGGCCCCAAGTCTGAAATGACCAGCCACTCATCAGGAAAAGGGGGCTTTCCACTCCCATGTAGAGCTACAGTCTCAGAAACCCACAAGGGGCATTTCTACCCTCAACCCGATGACAGAGCGTTAATAGCAAACAGCACTCCCAGAAGTCTCTAATAGCTACATTGGCAGGTTCTGGTTTGGGGGATATCATTTTGCTAGATGATAAACCCAGAATGCCTTTTTTTTTTTTGGTATAAGCAGTGGTCTGTGCCAAAAAAATAATTCTCAAAATGGTCCCTGCAATATAGCTGTGTGTGTGTGTGTGTGTGTGTGTGTGTGTGTGTGTGTGTCGCTGGGGCCAGGCTTGGTTCGCTCTGAAATGAGGGACTTTCAATTTGTCAAGCAGCCGTTCCCATCTGGTCGGTGTGCTTGCCAAGTCCCAAACCTGGGCTCGTGTGTCTAAAATTTCAGCGGCGACTTGGACCATGTGTCTTTGCCCTGAAAAAGAAAAGCAATTATTTTCACGGGCGACCAGATGATTTCCATATCATCTAGTGAACATGCGCGCTCTGCTTAGCACCACATCAGCGGCGGATGAATTTAGGGCCGATCTTAGCCACTCTGTGTGATATATTCTTAAAAAGTATGTGGATTCCTTTGGTTTAAGTGATCTCTAAAACGACCTATTCAAGGGGCTGTAGGCTAAAGCAA